ATATATATATATATATATATATATATATATATATATATATATATAATTTATATATATATTATATATAACTTCAACCATCAAACTTAAAGACTAAAAAAATCAGCTCATTTGGTTAAGAGTGCAGTTCCAACCAACATCCATCCAAACTTCGAGTAACTGGTTATTTGCATTGTGGCGCTGTGTGTGGTTGGCCAGCTGATTTGGAACAGGGAAGTCGTAGGTTTGATTTCCCATCATGCCCATCTGTTGTGGTGTCTTTAAGTCACTCATTCCCTAACTCCTCCCTAGGTGCTTCATTAGCTGCTCATTGCTCCAGTTGGGTGTATATTACGCTTGATGAGTTCAATGCAGAGCACACATTTCATCATTCTATGGACACATACAGTGATGACAATACATAGTCCTTTCAGCATGTTCACATTCTTATTTTCGTGAGGCCTGTCCAGCCAAAGCTCATGCAGATGTTTTAGAATCCTTCCCATGAAAGAAGCTGTTGAATCTGTGTTTAGAAGTGCTCCAAACAGAGTGGGAAAGGAGATACTTCATTTACAAATGTTTTCCAAGTCTTCAGCCCTACAGAACCCGATCTTTAATGTGGGCTTGCAGCAGGGCGGCAGTGTCAGAGTAGGAACACTGGATGGCAATAGAGAGTGCAGTTTGACCCCGCTGGAAGACAGGAAAACAAAAAAAATATTAAAACCAGTCAAGTTTCATAGTTTAGCATATAACGTGTTTTTAAAAAGGCTAGTACAGAAGACTAAAATAAAACATTCATTTTTTTAAAACATTACATTTATTAGCATCAAACCACAGTAAGGCTCTCTTCACACTCGATGACAACCCTGCTCCACCCTTCATGTTCAACGAGACCTATTGATTGCAGCTAGATGGCCACAAATTTGAAAAAATTCCTTCAATATGAAAGCAGTCAATAGTCTGCTTTGCTCTTAGTGCTCACCTATATATTTTTTTTAATTGTTTTCTATATCATAGAGATCCTCTCCTGTACCTTCCCCATGCTCTGTACACCCAGCCTGACCCAAGGGCTCCTCCAGAAAGATTTCAAAGGGGTGGCCAGATAATCTGTTAATTTTAACCAAAAGCACTAACAGAATTTCACAAGTTTTAAACTATTATCATACATAGATTAACTGAATAAAAAACAGCCACTATGGAGCACAAGCCAATGTATCTCCTGTGCCAGACCTTCCGGTTGAAAGCTAGACTTAGAAGCTAGAGAGGTGACTGTGAGCAGCAGTATGGTTTCATGCCAAGAAAGAGCACCACATACACCATCTTTGTTGTGAGGATTCTGATGGAGAAGTACAGAGAGGGTCAGAAAGAACTCCATTGTGTCTTTTTGGATTTAAAAAAAGCACATGACAGAGTGTCGAGGGAGGAGGTGTGGTATTACATGAGGAAATCTGTAGCAGAGAAGTACGTTAGACTGGTACAGGACGTGTATGAGGACAGCAGGACAGTGGTGAGATGTGCTGTAGGAGTGACAGATAGCTTCAAGGTGGAGGTGGGATTGCATCAAGGATTGGCTTTGAGCCCCTTCTTGTTTGCTCTGGTGATGGACTGACTAACAGATGAGGTCAGGCAGGAATCCTCATGGACTATGATGGTTTTTTTTTCACTCAACCTTTATTTATACACGTTAATTCCATCGAGCCTCAGGGACTCATTTAAAAGAGATACCTGATTTTAACAAAGAGTGATGACAATAGTCAACAAAGACAACAGTAGATAATCATAAAAGAAAACATACAAATTGAGAAGAACAAATGAAAAAAACTGGGATTAAAAAAGTGAAACAAAAACAGCTAGGTTGTAAGGCGATTTAGAAAACTAAAAACAGGAACATGTCTGTGTTGGTTTTTGCCAGGACCTTAGCAGATGTTTGAAGCCACTTAAAGAAGTCAAGGTCGAGAGCTTCATATCTTTTTGTAAGATATTCCAGGAAACAGGAGCGGAGTAGGAGAAGGCCCTTTTGTCTAGTTCAGTCGGCACTGAGGGAACACTGCAGGTAATAATGTCCTGAGAGCGCACGCTGTAGCTGCACTCACGCAGTGACATATAGGAGGAGATGTATGAAGGCAGCTGACCAAGAAGTGATTTAATGAAGAAAATGTACCAGTGGAAGAGTCTACGTGAAGTTAATGGTGTCCAGTTAACCAGTTAATACTGGGTGCAGTGGTGGGTACGATAGTTACAGCCAGTTATGAATCTTAGTGCACCGTGATAGACAGCATCCAACATCTGCAGGGTGCTTGTAGGAGCGTTCACGTAAATAATGTCAACGTAGTCAATGGAGGGAAGGAAAGTCACAGTTACGAGGTGTCTCCTAGCATTCAGAGTTAGACAGGATCTGTTTCTGAAAAAGAAACCCAGTTTAACTTTCAGTCTCCTTATCAAGTTTTCCACATGGAGCTTAAAAGAGAGATGTGAGTCGACCAAGATACCCAAATATTTGTAGGAATCAACAAACTCAACAGGGACACCCAGCACCATAAAGAGAGAGAGATCTCTTTATAAGGCTCTGGGGAAACCATTCCAGGATTAAATCAAAGGAAGAACTGCTGGGACCGACTTCCTGTTTGAAAAAAGCATCCCTTTGATCTAGTCAGCGTTTAGGACAAGTTTGAGATGGAACAAATTTTATGTCAAAGGCGGATTGCAAAAGCTGGAAAGCCTTACCAACTGTTTTAGCTTGACAATAAATAACTGTCATCAGCATAGAAATGTAAGGATGCATCAGGGATGCTTTGACCTACATTATCTATGTAGATTGCAAAGAGGGTGGGTCCTAAGACTGAGCCTTGTGGTACACCATTGTTGACCGTGAAATAACTGGAGGAAGTACCATTATGTTGAACACATTGTCTCCAATCTGAGAACCAACCAATGGTGTGAGCTGAAAAAACAATTTCTGAGAGCTTATGACAAAAGATGTTATGATCCACATTGTCAAAAGCTTTAGACAGGTCTAAGAAAAGTGCAGCACAGTAATCCTTAGCATCCAGTGCTTCAACAACGTCATTAAGAACCTTCAGTGAAGCCGTCATTGTGCTGTGTTGTTTCCTGAAACCAGATTGATGTGGAGGTAAGATGTTAAATGAGTCCAAATAATTTTTGATTTGAGAGTTGATCAGTTTTTCTAGAATAGTAGCTAAAATGCAGAGTTTAGAGATTGGTTGATAATTGTTCAATGAGGTGGGGTCACATAGCACATAACATTGTCTGACAAGGAGGGCTAGACATATATATATATTTTTTTTGTGAAGTGCTATTTTCTTCCTTGGCTTTCCATCGGTGATGTTTGTTCTCTAACAGCAATGCATTAAAGTTTGTACTAGTTTAGTGTGACTTTACCCCCACAGGTAGCACTACTGGTTTCCATAACCTTATTATCTAGATTATATATTAGAGACCTTATCAATTCCAGCCTTGGCATGAGGCCAGAATACCGAGTCGTGCTTAAAATTCTAGCTGGCCAAACTACTGCAAGCTGCGCATGAACATACATCATAAATGCACTGCAGCAATGGTAATGACCCATCTATACCTCACTACAGATGTTTAGTTCATGCTCAGAACTCACTATAACCTTATCTGAGTCACTGTGGTCCTAAGATTCTCCTGAGGACCTCACCAAGACCTAGCAAAAAACATCCATGTTTTGTCTCATTTTAAACATCCTAGAAGGGTCATCATCCAAGTGTATTATGTTTAAGTTATTTATTGAGTTTTGTCAATGTGAAACTTGCTTTAGTCTCAAAGAACAAGGTCGATCGTTGGTGTTTATATTACACATCTGATGTTTTGGTGTAAGGACACTGTCTGAAGCAAAATATACATTTCCATCCCTTCTTATGCTCTTTTTTTTCCTGCATCCACTCACAAACTTTAAACTGGCAGATAATGTTCAGTAATTTGCACAATGGCAGTTATCTGGCACTTGACTGCCCCTTTCATCCATTAGAGATGGTGGATACAGACGGTCTAGCCACCCACATCTAGTGTGAGCCAAAAATTCAGCTTCTGTCAAACTTTATTAGATTTATAAATTAATTTATATAGTTTTACTCTAGAAATTTTGTGTCAAAACTGAAATGTCACATTGTGATGTTTTGTGTTTTGGATAATTCCCAAGTATGCCAGCAGTTTGATGTTTCCATGTGTCTAACACTGGTCATCTTCTACGATAAACAGCAGTGGATTTCCTGTTTGTGGAGCTTTTTGCTGCAGTGTCCTGATGCATGCTCAAGAATCCAGGTACATCCTGACTCAACCTTGTCAGACGTTTGCTGCAGTGTTACCTTGTCAAACGCCATCACATCACATTGGCTTCTTTCCAGCAACAGCCTTGCGATGTGCGTGTGGCCTCTCTCAGAGGCTAACATGAGGGCTGTTGTTCCGTGCTTGTCCTGTATGTTAGCATCTGCCCCGCAGCTCAGCAACAGCCGGACCATAACAACCTGGCCTTGTCTCACTGCCAAGTGTAAAGCTGTTTGGCCTGTCTGTGGAAACAAAGGCAATGAAAAGGATGCCACAAGCTTTTTCTCCAACGCCTCTTAAGTCCTACATTCAATGGACACTTCTCTTTAAATCTATGAAAGTATTTATTTATTATTTTTGTACTTTTGGTTACATTGACTGTGTTACCTGGCTGGAGCGAATGTTAACATTTCCCTGCTCCATTAGCTTCCGGACTACCTCCATCCCACCAGGCTCATAAGGAACAGTCAGGGAGGCCAGCATCACTGCTGTATAGCCGGCATTGTTCTGAATATTTACGTCACTCACACCTGTGGTACAGACAGGATGATCATGCAAACAGTCAGCACTATCGTTATAACTGAAACTATTCATTTTCACAGCAGTCTGTTACCTGTGTCCAGCAGCAGGTTAACAATGCTGTAGTTACAGTTTGACACGCTGTAATGCAGCACCATGTTACCATTGTCATCTGGGAGGTTGATGAGGAAGGTCAGAAGTGACGGTGCCACTCTCCTTACTTCACTGATGTACGCAGCCACCCTGCAGGCCTCAGACGACTCCTCTGCTGCAGCGCTGAACCAGTGTTCAAACAATTTAGCCAGAGCTTTCTTCTGCAACAAAGTGAAAACATAACAGGCATGTTGTCAAAAATGTTTTAATCTCATGAACACTGAAGGGGAGCACAGACCGTAAGAGTTTAATATTCAAATGATTTGTACGTCGCATTCTGCAAGGATGATATTTGAAAATGTTCCTTGTGTCACACTGCAGGGTGTTAGCTTTCATAAATGCAAGTCCTTGTGATTTGTAGCTACAGCAGTAGCACAGTATCTAACAGAATGTTAGTTCAACAATAAAAAGAAAATTATCTTTTGAATTAGTAGATTCAAACTCTAAAATGACGGGGAGAAGGAGGAGGCATAAGAGACATCAGTAAATATGTTTATAATTGGTAAAAAAAATAATAATAATAACATCTGTCACAGAAATCACATATTACAATTTTTGCATAAAACTTCTGTCACTGAAATACAAAGTACTGGACTGTGTCTTTGAGCCTGTCACACTGAGCCACAAACTGCTGATTCAAGTTTACTAAAGATTTGTTCTATGATTGTCGAAAGAGCTACAGTGTAAACGCAGATTTAGAGAAGCTAGCACAAGTTGTTTCCTCGTGTTCTCTGATGTGAATCTAGTCACCTCGCACAGTATTCATATCATTAACATACTAGCTAACAATTGTTTAACTTAACATGCAACAATCCCATAACTATGCTCCCTTTAAAGCTCTGCTGTGAACCCTACAAAACAAACTATACCTAGACATTTTTTGTTTATTGCAGCCTTTTTAATTATAATAACAAGCAATTGAAGGAAAACCTATTTCATATTTAAACCTCTTTTAATTTCATCAGAGTGCACTGAAGGACTTCCTACATTTACCCAGTACCACAACCAGGGTCAGTCACTAAATTTCCATGTGTGCAGATTCATAAACACTGTTTTATGAAACAACTCCCTTTTTAAGTCTGAGAGAAAAGGATATGTGTGCCTTAAGTGTTTGTCAACCTAAGATAAAAAAAAATACAACACTGTAATTTTGTCTGGAGCTGCCAAGATCTTAAAAACCACTCTGAGTAAATATCTATATTTTTAAGGGTTGGTGCACCACATGCCTACCTTAATCGTAGGCCCCCTTAAAGCCGGAGGATGACCCTGCCACAATGTAGAAAATTAACTAGACCACACATGTGGTTTGCAGAGACTTTTCAAGGTCTTAAGAAGTGTAAAAAGAACACTGTGGGTTTTTCATTATGCTTAATAAGGTGTAATAGGTTGTAATGGGTTTTGAGTATGCATAAAATGTCCTTGTCAAGGTGGTGATGATTTATTTCTGTGGTGGCAGTGTATATATCATGTAGGACCTGCACGTACTGATGGAGTCATCAAGAACTTAAAGCAGGACTGGTGTCAGGCCTAGGCTACGATGCCATCACACCTGCATGTCATTGCAGCATCATGCTGTCATGGTGTAATGCAGTGGTGAGCTGTGCATTTTACATCTAGGCCTTCAGTGGTGTCCTGCCTGAATGTGTCCCTTCTTAATACCATCTTAGTGTTGATTATCTGTACACAAACACTGTCTTCCTTTTATTCCTCAAGAATTGGTCAGTTCCTCTGTCCTACAGGTCATAATGGTGGTTCTATTTTAACAATAAGCCCTGTTCACATTAAAAAAGTTGCCAGGACAGCTTTCCTCCACCTGCATAATAACACTAAGATTAGAAACATCTTGTTCAAAAACGATGCAGAAATACTGGTCCATGCATTTATTATGTCTAGGCTGGTTTATTGCAATTGCTTATTATCTGGGTGTCCAAAAAAATCATTAAAAAGTCTTCAATTGATCCAAAATAATGTTACCATATTTTTAATGAGTTTTGATAGGAGAGATCTAATTTCTCCCGTTTTAGCTTCTCTCCACTGGCTCCCTGTCAAATCCAGAATAGAATTCAAAATCTTCCTTCTGACCTACAAAGCTCTCAACCAACTGCTGTAGCTTCATCTTTTATTACCGATCTTATTGTTCCACGCTTTCCTAACAGAGCACTTCACTCTCAGAATGCAGGTTTACTTGTGGTTCCTAGAGTTTCCAAAAACAGAATGGGAGGCAGATCTTTCAGTTTTCAGGCTCCTCTCTTGTGGAACCAACTTCCAGTTTCTGTCTGTGAGGCTGACACATTGTCCAGTTTTAAGACTGGGATTAAGTCTTTCCTTTTTGATAAATCCTATAGTTAGGGTTGGCTTGAGTTTCCTAAGCGATCCCTCAGTTATTCTGCTATAGGCTTAGACAGCTGGAGGACAAACTGACCACATTTCCTCACTCTGCTGCTGTCTTTACTTGCTCTACTCTACTTGTTTGTATTTGTAATTATTTCTATCTGTAAGGATGGTACTTTTCTGTGGCCCGGTTTGTTTCTGTTTCCCT